GCACTGCGCTTACTGGGCTAATCTAGACTTTCAACACATTGCGTGGGACATGTGCATCCTGAGGCAGGGAAACTACCTAATGCTGTGCTTTGTTTCGCTCTGGAGAGCCATTTACGCTGCAGGGAATACAAGGGCACAAGCGCAGTGCCCCACCTGGGATTCGAACCCGCGACCTTTCCGTTCAGGAGCGTGCAGCTGTGACCATTATTTCAATACCGCGTCCCAGACACAGGACAGTCTGCTGCTGTTCTCTCTTCTCGGAGTGGCACAGCTGTAGTGCTCGAGTTCTTAGATAAATATATCTGGATGTATCATTACACATAGCCAGCCTTTCCTTAAATTGATCCTTATCTTTCCATCTGGGATTCTAAGAACGGTAAACTGGAGCGGGGCTAGACCGCTTCCTGGGATATGAAGTTGCCAGCTTACTAGAGGCGTGGGTGTTGGAGGGAGGCCAGAAAGTGGGAGAATTTCACATGGCACTCCGACCCGCGGAGGGTGGTACGGGGGTGGTGGGCAGGTGGCTCCCTGGCAGGAACACAGGTGATACAGTCTTCGAAAACAGCCCAGCGACACGTGCTTGGCAGAGCAAGAAAAACACAACAAGGCCAAAAAAAAAAAATGGAGCATGTGCACAGTGCAAAAACAAGCGTGCAAAAATAGTGTTGAGCTGTTTGCCGTCTCGGGTTCCCTCCCACCTTGAACCCAGCAAGGGTGCAGCCTTGTCCCAGTGTGCCAGTGCACCACAGTTAGTCTGCTTGTTTTTGTTTTTTATTCTCACGGCTTTTCCAAGCGTGCTTTGAACCGAGAGCTCCTTTCCTAGAGCCCCAGTGCAGCTGGGATTTTATAGATCACCCTGAAATCACCAGTTTTCTGAAGAACAGGAACAATTCCATCTTGGCTGCTGAATCAGCTGATCTGTTGAGTGAAGCTGGTTTAAAATCTTTGGTAATTAAACTACTTAATGCAGCCCCTTGTAGCTCTCATGGACCAAGACATCTGGCCATTTCTGACTTACTGAACTGGTCAACATGCTACATTCATCAAGACGTTTACAAACTGAGGGTGCATGGGAGACCTATCGCACTTGCAGAAGACCTAACTTCATCCTGTCCTGGATGGGTCGTGTCCATGTCATGGC